TCCCCCCCTCAAGTATTCAGCTGAAGACTGAGTGGTGCACTCAGGTGAAGAAAGATCATGAATAACATTTCTTTTTCATTTTTCAAGATTATTTTTTATAGTGTTCATTCTTTTTGAATAAGTTTATTAATTCTATCTGCTAGAAATGCATATTAGAATGATACAGTACTATTAATTTTTATGTTTTGATATATGAGTAGAAATCATTATATAACCAAAATAAAAATCTCGTATTGCTGTTTCGTTCTGATAGTGCTATCAATAAATTGAGGGTGCTTATGGCAAAGGATAGTGGTATATGTATATGTTATTCATATACATGTATGAATGTTACTCATATACATGTATGAATGTTATTCATATACACATATGAACGTTATTCATATAAAGTTTCAAAGATGGGTAGAAAGGACACATATTATGACTATACCACACTGTTTTGGTTGTTGTACTTTTATAGTAATTGTTAAAGTCAGTGTTAGTCCTCCAACTTTGTTTCTTCTTCTTCAAGACTGCTTAGGCTATTCTGGGTCTTTCGCATTTCCATATAAATTTTGGAGTCAGCTTGTCAATTTCTACAAAAAGCATGCTGGTAGTTTGATAAGGATTGCATTGATGCTAGAGATCAATTTGGGGAATACTGACATCATATTGATACTGAATCTTCCAATCTATGAATGTTGTATCTATTTTTTTCAAGTTTTCTGTAATTTTTCTTGCAATGTTTTTGCAGTTTTCAGGTATAGGTCTCGGATTCCTTCTGTTAAATTTATCCCCATGTTATGTATTTTGTCAAATCATGTCATTCGTGTCAAAATCTGAACATTTAACTTTGAACAAAGCCAAAGGCCTTCCAGTGGTAAGACTCCTTTCATTCTCTCTCTCCCTTCATGTCTTAGAACTCTTCGTTCCCCTCACTTTCTCTGCTCTAGGTATACAGGTTGCCTTCCAGTTCTTTCAATGCAGCGGGATTATGGTTGTCTTGGAGATTTTACATTCACTGTTCCTTGCACCTGGAATGCTCCTTCCCCAAATATTTGTGCGGCTACTTTGCTCCCCTCTTACAAGTCTTTGCTCAAATACCAACTTCTCAATGAAGTCTTTTCTGACCACCCTCTGTTCCCAGCACTCCTGGTCCCTCTTACCTTGCTCTACTTTTCCTTGTTATATACCTTGCTAAATAATTTTATTATGTTTATTGTTTGTGTATCTCCCTCCACCCAAGTACCTAGGACAGGGCCTGGCACATAGCAGATGTTCATAATTATTTTTTAAATGAATACATGAAGAGAATGAAGAGCTGCTGTAAATACCAAATTCCATAATTTTTAGCTTTATCCAAGGGAAGTACCTGAAACAGAGCAGTGAAGCCTTAAACTTTGTGATGAGATTCTTTTCTTCATTGTTTTACAATACCTGAACAAATACCATGGCGATTACTTTCCTCTTCCACTTGAAGTTTATTTTAATTGCTTCTCTTTTAATGTTTTCCTTGAAGAGTTGTTGGTGATTGCAGGTGGGACAGAGTGGCAGCAAGGGTTGATTCTGTCATTTGGGCAATGAGATTTTACAGTAATCCTGTACTGTTTATAACTGCCCTGTATCTGGTGTAGCTTGTATGTTGTATGTTCAAGAGTCACTGGCTTTTAAATTAATATTTGCTACAGTATGTTTTTCCAGGCTCTGTATGGCCTTTCTTAATAGAAAACTCAAATTCTGGGTCATAGTCTTAGGCTAGGTTCTCTAGAGGAGCAAAATCAATGAACTAGATAGACTGGATGGATGGATGGACGGATGGACGGATGGACGGATGGATAGATGGATGGATATAGAGAGATTTATTACAAGGAAGTGGCTCATGCAGTTGTAGAGGCTGGCAAGTCCCAAATCCATGAGTTAGGCATCAGGCTGGAGGCTTCTCCTGACTCACGTGGTAGCAGGGGCTGGTGAACCGAAAAATCAGCTGGTCAGACAGCAGGCTGCTGGCTCACGTCCCAAGAACCAGAGGTCAGGGGATTAAGAGTTGGATGCAAATTGAGAGACAGCAAGCTTTGCCAGAACATCTATAAATATTGGATGCAGGCCATACCCCCAAGGAAACTCCCCTTTCAATTGACTGGCAGCTCACATCAGATCACAAAATGGAGAATAATTACATAATATCTGACAAGCCACTGAGAATCATGGGCCCGAGCCACACTGACACATAACCTTAAACATCACAGTCATATTTAAGAATTTTACATGAAAGTCCTCAAGGTTATTTATCTTCCTAAACTTGTGTTTTCAGACAATTATATACAGGGATTAGAACACAGACCACATAAAATGCTGCCTCTGTTTCTGCTTTTTGTTATCTCACGTGCACATCCTTGCTGCATTTCAGTGGTGTGTACCAGCACTAGGCAGGGTGTGTAAGCCTCTCTTGCAGGTATGGACATAGCTTTGTTCCTCTCCCCTCCTCCCATGACTACAATTTTGTTGCTCCAAACCTCTGGGTACACAATTAAGTGCTCCCTCTAGGACTAAAGAAACAAGTTATTTAGGCAGAAATAACTTTCTGGGATCTAAAAGTCACTAGAAAAACCACTGGCCCATTCTCAATCAAATGTTGGCAACATTTGCTTACTCTGAAAACTCATACATGATAATGTAGTATGCCCATATACCCAAGTATAAATAATATCTACCCAATATTTTACTGTGTGCATGCATTTAAATATATTACACACAGCATCCCATTTAATTTCAGTTTCCATTTTCTTCAATGGAGGAAGACAAAGGAAAAGGGGGTTGCTATGGGTGTTGAGTGAATCGATTCTAGAATGTGCCGCAGGTTATTTTTCTCGAAGCACGCTTCTTCAGGAGAGTTCATTTAAGTTAAATATGAAAGGAGATCAGAGAGAGAGTAGGCAGAGAAAAAGAAGTTTCAGTGAAAACTATACAAAAACACACAGAAGGAAAAAAGAGTCAGGTGAAGGTGACAACACTTAGTCAAGTGTCGCTTAACGTCCACAATAAGTTCTGTGAAACAGGATGTTATGTGATCTGGACGTTGTGAGAACACCATATTATATACAGGCGGTCCCTGGATTACAAACGAGTTCTGTTCTCAAGTCTGTCTTTATGTTGAATTTGTACGTAAATTGGAAGTTAGGTATCGTTTGTGTCTAATGTCAGTCAAGTGTTTGTCTTACTGTATAACACACAGTGTAATTTTCTATGCATTAAGACATTAAAGAAACACTTCCAGATACATTAAAACATCTTTAACATAATACAGTAATAATAATTTTTTTCCCTAAATTTTATTTATTTTGTTGTTGTTGTTGAAAATATACACAGCAAAAACATACACCAATTCAACAGTTTCTACATGTACAATTTAGGGACATGGATTACATTCATCAACTTATGCAGCCATTCTTACCCTCCTTTTCTGAGTTGTTCCTTACCCAATGACATAAACTCATTGCCCCCTAAAGTTCCTATCTAATCTTTTGAGTTGCTGTTGTCAATTTGATCCCACAAAGGTAGTTCTTAAAAGAGCATAATGCTCAAGGCAGACTCTTTTTTTTTTACTAGTTAAGCTAAATTATTGTTTGGTTTTAAGAAGACCTCAGAGGATATTTTTGGTTAAGACTTAAAGATTATCTCAGGACAATAGTTTCAGGGGTTCATTCACCCTCCATGGCTCCAGGAAGTCTGAAGTCCATGAGAATTTTCAATTCTATTCTGCATTTTACCCCCTTTTGATCAGGATTCTTCTATGGAATCTTTAATCAAAACCTTCAGTAATGGTAGCTAGGTACCATCCAGTTGTTTCTGGTCTCATGGCAAAGGAGGCAGTTACTCCTGGAGGCAGTTAGCTACACATTCTATATCCTCCTTCTATTCCTGACTCTCCTTCCTCTGTTGCTTCAGGTGAATAGAGACCAATTGTTGTGCCTTGGATGACTGCCTGCAAGCTTTTAAGACACCAGGCACTATGCAATGAACTAGGAGGTAGAATAGAAGCACCAAACACGTTATTAGGCCAAT